CACAAGATAATGACTCATTTGAGAATAAAAGTATTAAAATTTCATGCAAGTTTGAGCTTTATTGCATATCGAATGCAATAATCTACATGGGATTTTACCCTTAGGACGAGGATTCAACCATCAAATGTAAACATAATTCAGTTACTGCAGTATATCTCATAAAGACAATATTAAATTTTAAAATTCTAAGTAAATATTATGCGACAAATTAACGAACGAAATTCTATTTCATTACATCATATGTTACTTTCTGCATGAATAAAACTGAATATTTGTTGAACAGCATTTGCAATATCTTCAGCAGTAAACCTTGCTTCACCAGTAATCTGTACATGGAAAACAAATATTAATTAACTAAAAGCAAATATATCCAAACGGAAATTTTTGTAGTAGATATAACATATTTTCAAAACATAAATTAATATTTTCAATTACTACGGGAAATAATTTTACCAGACTTTAGCTATGGTTCTTTTAAATTGATACCATAAACCGTGTTGTAATTTTTTTTTGTTTTTTTTGACATTGAGAAGAAATAAATGTGAGATACAAACTTTAAAGGGAGACCTATAATCGACCTCCTAAAAAACCAATCTAGTGCTGATGTGGCAGAAAAACCATAAGCATGGTTTTTAAAATGTATGACTGTTTTAGATAATCATAAACACAGTTATCTTGCCACATCAGCAGTTGAAAGTTTTTATAGGAGATTAGATCTGATCGACCTCCGAGGAGAAATTATAAAATTGATGGATATAGGGGATCGAGAGCTCAAGATAACAAACCCTAAACTATATTACGTGCCCTCATCGCACTTCTAGTGTTCATTCGTTGACGTTGAAAGAATTTGTACCTTGACATTGAAAGAATAGAGAACAGTTTGTTCAATTGTAGTAATGTTGGTGTGAAGAATATTAAGCTGCAAATCTTCAAGTGCAGCTACGGCCTTAATGAGCTGGCCAGGTCTTCTTCTTGATAAAATTTTGATCAGTGCATCAAAACCTAAAACCTTCACTTCAACATCAGCTAAACATGACTTGCTTTCTGCTGTTTCTTCGCGTAGCCCAGTTTCATATTCGACAAGATTTACTTGATCATTAAGTGGATCAGGCACCGGAGGAATTAGAAATGGTGGTTGAGGCTGCTGCTGCTGCACCACAAGAGAAGGATCTATTATTGGCCTTTGGCCTTCTCCACAGAGTCGTCGCCTCTTTTGCGATTCGAGGCATTGGAGAAGTTGTTCTAATTCTCTCACAAACTCAATGGCTCCACCTATTATCGAAGCTTGATCTCCCTATAGTTGACAGAAAACGAAATTATATTTGAACCTTACTGAATCTAAACTTGCGAATAGGTAATAAAAAAATGTCATATTTGATTACCCTTTGGACATAAGAACCAGGCATGAGAGACCTGAGAACTCGAAGATGCTCATTCATTTGCTTTCTCCGGTTTCGTTCGACTGCAATATGTGTCATCCTTTGACTCTCAACCTCTTCACTTGTCTTTGTAGTTCTTGGCCTCTTTCTCTTGTTCTTACCTGATTCAGTAACTGGGCTTTTTTCGAGATTTTTGCCAAGGAACCTTAATTGAACTGAGGTATTTTCCTCAACCATATCTTCACCACCTTCTTCCACTGCTTTACCATTACTTTCTTGATTGTCTCCAAGGGCTTGAGGTGCTGCCAATAGGGACTGATCATCTTGTAATTTCTCGTTTAAAACCGGAAACTTGAGGAAGTAAACCGGATCAATCCCACCTGTAGTTTCTTGATCATCAGAAGTTCTAGCTTGATTTAAGGCCAACTTGGGGCCAAAATCTGCCAGTTGCATCACATCTGCAAAACTCAACTTATCCAACGATGTCGAACCGCAATAATTAGAGGATTGAAGTGAAGGATTATTAAGCATATAATCAACCATTTGACAAGTATTATCAGCAGAAGTTTCTCCATTTTGAGACCTCATCATCTGCTGCTGCTGATGATTTTCAATAGAATAGTCAATTGCAGGAGAATTTCCTGTAGCCTGCAGAAAGAAATTTGGAGATTCATAGCAAAACAAGGCCCTAAAATGACGTGTCAATGTAAACACACAAACAAT